AACTCTGCCAGGACACGACGCACAAAGAGGAAAATACCACTTAATTCATTGCTGACAAAGTGGGATCTCATTCAAAGACGCCAAATACTGGTGTTACAGTGCAATGAGCTTATGAGATGATTGATTTATTTGGTGCATCAGAATGAGACAAAATTATGTTTTAACATTTTTTTCAAGAAAGCTTACAATCTTAATGGTTTTGTTTCAAGAATCACAAGCTAAGTTTTAAAGAATCTGTAATAATCTAATGTAGGTGCGACTTCTCTAAATACTGACTTTTACAACACGACCCCGTCCAAGGAGGTCTTAATGCTGGAAATATCTTTTTTTGTTGTTGTTGTTTTTACGTATAGCAGAATCCGAGGTTGCAAATACCACTCAGACTTTAGTGTTTTCTGAAATGTAACTTTTCTAATGTTTGATGAAACTTTTAACAAATCTTAAATTGTGTTTAAACAAATTTTAAATGGTGTAAGACAAAAACAAATATAGTCTAGGTTTGGCCAGTAAATGTTCAATTTCAACCTCACAAATGAGTTGCGAACAGAAACTATAAAGTGTGTTGCTGATCAGCTAAATTTGTCTTTTGAATGTTGTCCTCAGAATTATGGAGCCTTTTTTAATATTAATTCATTCAAACACACATGGTTGTAACTGGATAGCTGCAAAAGTCTGTTATACCCCCACAACTGACTGATCCATGGTGATGGGAGGGGTAATGTTCTTGGTAAAGTTAGTTAATAATATATCTTCATGAAAGTCTCAATATACACATTTTGTTTACCAGATATAAATTAACTGTTTTTTGTAACAAATAGAATTACAACTGGAAACTATGTTCTCCGCTTTTACTCGCTCTAAGATCAGCTGTCCCTCAACTTTGTTTATTCAGAGGTCAGTGTGATTCAAAGGGGTCGTTTTCAAATGAAAACTAGTAAATGAAGGTAACATAACCACATGTTTTGATGTCACGCACACCCAGGCTAGGTTGTTAAAGTGGCCCCCCATGGGAACCGGTTTCTGGGTCCGCTGCCCGCTCCTAAAGTCATCAGCATAATTACAGCAGTCAGGGTTTCGGGTGAAACGAGTGTGTGGCTTTTTCCGAGGGAGCTGCCTCACTGCTTCACTTCATCTTCAGTCACACTTATGAAGCCTCCCATCTGTTTCCTCAACACTACAACTTGCATAAGCAGGAGAAGTTCTTGTGCTCGTCTTCGTGAAGCGGCCCAACAGATTTCCGAAGGGCTCCCACGTCTGCTGGCCTTTTTATCAGCCTGTTCCCCATCAGCTTGGTACAGTTTCTACGACGCCTAATCAGCCTGTCGGACCATTTATATGCTGAGCTGTTTAATAATCATTACGTGCTTGATGATTCCTCATATAATTGGATTTCATGACCAAATCAAAAAACATTCAGTCTCATTTTCTCAAAATCAGTCTGAAAGATGAGATTTGGACCTTTCTCATGGTCTTGGACTTTCAATAAAAATCTACAGGAATCAAAGGTGGCTCAAAAGAGCCAACCTTAGTGTAGGTCAACATCTGGCAACAGGGACACTTTCATTTCTCAGCAGAACTTGCAGATGCTGTCCACAGCATTCGAACAGAGAGAGAGATATTTCCTCTAGGCCAGGGGTGGGCAACTCCAGGCCTGGAGGGCCGGCCTCCTGCAACTTTTAGATGCATCTTTACTTCAACTCTCCTGAGTCATCTAATGAGGTCGTTAGCAGGACTCTGGAGAACTAGACTGCACTGAGGAGGTGATTCAGCTGTTGGATTCAAGTGTGTTGGACCAGGGAGACATCGAAGAGTTGCAGGACGCAGGCCCTCGAGGACCAGGATTGCCCACCCCTGCTCTAGGCTCTGAGCAGACATCTATAATGCATTCCCTACATAAAGAGCCCAATCAGCAGATCCCCAGCCTGATACCTCAATCAGTTTCCCAATCTCATTTCTAATTTATTTTTACTTGACCCCAACAAACCCAGCACCGTGAAGTGCAGTTCGACATTAATCTCTCAAATCTGCAGTAGGCACTGAAGCCATTCAGTAGTTTGGCATGAATCCCATTCACAATTCATTCCCTGAAAACTCCATGAAGTGCCTTTCATTTGTCTTTTATTCAAGTTCACCTAAGCTTTATGAAGGGGCTTAAAATGGTGAATCTGTTCTGCGAGTAGGTGACGGGAATCTTAATGCCTCCCTGATGCAGCTGAAGCTGCACATAGAAAAGAGAATGATGGATTAGCTTTATCCATAAAGGTTTATTGTATTTGTCAGTGGCTGTCCTGCTTTCTTTACAGCTACTTTTACCACGTCAAATAAATTCATTCTTTATTGATATGTCTACGCTGGGTTATTTTTTCGTTCTCGTTATTCAGACCCTTTTGAGCAATGCTTTGGCGCCGATGGCAGACAGCACTTCACACTGTTAGGGCGTGCGTGTATGTGTGGCAGCTTGTTTTTGCAATTTTCTTGACATTTTATTGTAAAAGGTCAGAGCGCTTTTGAGTTTTGCGTTTGTTGATTCTGTACCCCTTCCACCAAAAAAAAAGAAGAAATAAAAATCAAAGGTAACAACCATTGTGCAACTACTTTCAACTGTTTTACAGATGTGGCGTACGATCAGGGCAGACACGTCGTCTCTTGACTTCTCAGAATCATGTAACTGAGAAAGTTTACATTTTGTAATGAGTTTTCTTCCATATGTGGCTTAACGCCAGGCTACAGCTTTTTGTTGTTAAAGGGCTAGAAATGAAGAATTTCAAATAGTCGAGCTCTTTCTATAGACGTGGCATGAGTGTCAGAAATTAGAACCGCCTTATGTTCCACAATTAAGCAACGATATGATGAATTTGGTTCTCAAATGTTGCAGCAATAATGGTAAGAACATTCTTTAGTCTTTTGTGATGTTACACAGGTGCTTTATCTGCACTCATGAAGGTTTTCTCACCTTCATGCGTAATGCTTGTAGTTGCTTCAATGACAGGGCAGTCTAAACTATGAAGTATTTTCTGGTTATCTCAATTTATTTGACTACTTGGGATCACTTATAGACCATGTTTAGACGTTAACACTCGCGCTACGTGAGGGTCCAGTGGACCCCCCGTGAGGTTTTGACCCTGTGTGCGGCGGGGGTGGTGTAAAAGAATATTTTAATAATCGAGTACTCTACTGATTATTCTTACAATCAGAATCTCTCTCTCTCCCTCTCTCCTGTATAAATACACCAGTAGTGACCTTTCCACCGTTCGCCATGAAACGGTAATCGGGCAGTTCCGGGAGGAGTGAAGCTGTCGTATTCCAACCATTTCGTCCGTCATTTTCAAGATGCTTATTGGTCCCCCAAAAAACCAACACAAACCCAGAGACTTTGTCGTTATGCTGCTAGCACGTAGCAACAACTCGTATGCGGAAGGGAGAGCGCTGCCCAACACAAATAATGATCCCAGAACACGGTGCGCTAAATAATAAAACACAATTTGATGAAGCTTTGAGGCAGATACGTTTTCCTTTAATAATCAAGGTGCTCGAATCATTCGAGGAATCGTTACACTTCTAGTGTGCAGTTCCAGTGGTGTCGCACTGATCCCACATGCATATTTACAAGTTTTATTATTTTTGGTAGTTTCGAGGACTGACCAAAAATAATAGAATAATAGAATAATAGAGGTCAGACTGATGAAACACCCTGACCTCTTTCTTGTTGTCCGACCATGACATCTGCTGCGCTCTTCTCGAGCGTGGTGCTAAGACTGCGGGAGGATTAAGTTTCCATTACCAAATGATTGGTAGATCATTAAATATGGAAAAAATACATTAATACTGGCTATTCATGATTACAGCCATGTGGCCAATTCAGTCTTCTTAAATAGGTGTTTTTTTAGACACTTAAATCTGTATCAGCTAGGTTTTATAGCATAGAGAAGATGTTAAGGCTCCAAATATGATCGACAGCTGAGTTTCTCACAGAGCCTATGACCTTGATCTATTTTCTAACAGATGGGAATTATTTGGTGGTAGTAATTTTTCCTTTTCCTGCACTCAATTTGTCTGTCTTGGTTGCACACAGATCTTGCAAACCTTCAACCGTGGCATTATTTCAAATACTAAAGAGACTATGGATGAGTTTTAAATATATGACTTAAAGTTTGAATAAAGGAATGAAATGATGAATTTTAGCATCAAGTTTGCGCCTCACAACATGTTGAATGTATTAATACTTGTGAGGCTGCGAGAACAAAGGGCTTTTACTGAATCATGAGGAAAAGACGAATCCATAATACAAAAGAAGAGTTCTTGGATGCACTTTGATGCACGACTCCAGAGATTTGTTCCCTTGCAGATTTTGTATGGCACTTGTCAAAGTGGTGCCAAGAAGCTCAGACTCTATCTCCCCTCCACTTGACATCAGCAGCAGGAGATAAAGAGAAGCTGTTGAAAGGCACTTTGGTGCAGACTCTCAATCTTGTGTCCAAGTATTGTTCCATCCAACGTGTGCAGCTATATCACTCGGCTGGGTGAGTGAACACCTGCCTGCAGAGATGAAAGGCGCCCCTAGTTGAGCGTTGTCTTGGCTTCCCTAACACCGCAGACATTTTCTATCCGCCCAAGTTGCAGATGAGTGGGAGACTGCGGCGACCGAAACTTGCTAAAGCGTGCTAATGTTTTTCCCCTCTGAGGTGCAGCAGCAGGCAGGAACCAGAGAGGAAGTAGGGCACAGTAAAGCAGACATCAAGGTGGAGCTGCTTGCTCCTTTGTGGGCCAGTGCATGCATACGAGTAGCCCTCGGGCAGTTTTTTTCAGAATCTGATTGTTGTAAACTGAAACTGCACGACACAGATTCATCGTCGGCTCTCTCTGAGTCTGCAAAATTTACATCGGTTTACGTGTGTGTGGGTGTTTGTGTGCGTCTATGGATGCACACAATTAAGGATGCACCTTAATTTAACGAATAAAGGATGACATGTCTGACACAGTTTCCCTTGCATTTCTTCCAGGAATCGTCTTCTTCTGAGGTCAAGACTTCTGAGAAATGAGCTGCCAATGTAAGTCCCTTGGCTGACCTCAGGACTTGGCTGGTAATGTTGCTTTTAATTTAATTAAACTGACTAAGAGGTATAATTGAGTACACAAATGCGTACGTGTGCAGTGGAGACGCAAATTCTGAACCTCTAACCTTTATTTTACTTCACTTCACCACCCACCAGGGACAGCATTCACCTCCGACACAATTCATCAGGAGCTAATTTTTATTCCCGACAAACGCCAGTGCTCTGTCAAAGCAGGACTCAGTCATGAAGAAGTGTAATTCATATTTCAGACACAAGTCTTTCCACTCTATGTTATTCTACGGACGCCTTGCGACTGCCTGGTTTGGGTTTGTCATTCCGAGTGCAACCAAGGCTTAGGGTGTTATCAATAATGAATGAGGATGTGGAAGTTTTCGCTGGATTTTTTCCAAACTCTGATATGCTTCCATTAAAAGCTTGGGTAGAGCGGTTCCCTGAATGCCTGGAAAGTGGTGCAGTCCCGCTCATCCTAATGATAAGATGATGCAATCCTCAGAGATAACCGTACAACGAGAAAGTTTTATGAGGATTTATTTTTCCCTTCGTACTTTTTCGACTGAGGTTTTCATGAGTAGTAGAAGTTCTGATAGTGCACAGCAAAAAAAAAAAAAATCCTATTTACTTGATGTTTATCTGTACATTAATTATTTAGAATACATTAGCTAGACTTTTTAACACAATTTGCAACTTAGCACTATTTGTAAAATAACTTTCTGACCTAACGCTACACGATATGCACATAAATAATAAACATCTCATTTCTCTAGTCAAAGATACGGTTATGAAAAATGTTGTTTTTGACCTTTATTTGGTAGTGAATGCTTTAATCTGACACGATCTGTGCAAAAGGTTTAGCTTGAATAACTGTGTAAGAAATGTCATATGGTAATTATGAAGACATTCATTGGAAACAATGCCTTTAAAATAAGTGGTGATAGGAATTTCACCAGGTGTTGATATGTGTTGTGCTTGTTTTCTGTGGGTTCGTTTTGTCAGACTTTTCACTCAAATCCACTTCAGGGCTTCTGGGCTGCACTCTAAACATTGCTGAATTAAAGAAAAGAAAAAAAAAGCAACATCCTATTTTGAGATGTTTTGATAACTCAGTCCTGAGTCATACACCCCCATAGTGCTTGATTATGGGTTTGACCTAGCATCCTGAGTAAGTCTGCAACCCAAAAGGTTATTTAAAGTGTCTAATAGCTGAAATTTATAGGATTTCTATTTTGGATTTTATGAATTGAGGTTGTAGTAATAGTTGCCAGTAATAGTTCTCGTTACATTAAATAAATGCAGTTTTGTCAAAAATAATTCTTATTCCTTATAGACTTAAAATGATTTTTATTTACCCAAGAAGTTTATGTGTATTTATTACACTTTTAAAAATGTTGCCTGTCAATACTGACTTTATGATCAGTTCTTTGATCAAAGTGTGAATGTTGACTGTAGCTAGCATTAGTTCATGCTGACTACTCACCAAAGATGAGGACTTTCTGTTGTCATCCTCAACGTAGGGATGTGTGCTCCTTGGCTCATCCAATTATTGCCAGGTCCTGCTTCTCAGTTTCTGATGCTACAGAATCATATAGAGAAAGTTTGCAGCTTTGCAACAATTTGGAGAATTCTCTTTGATGCTTGTATTTCCCCAGACAGCAAAAATGATCTGGGCCAAATATCGGAGAGCATTTGGCCCAGACCCATCAGCAGTCCTGGGCCTGAGTCTTTTTTTTTCTTCTTCTTCCAATTCCCCAGTTACCAGTGTGGGTTAGATTGATGTGGTGGAGGTAAATAGCAACATGTTTCTTTCAAACTTTCATCTTATTAGCTGAAATCAATAAGGAGCGTGCGTCAATGCCCAATGAAGCCCGGCATGTTAATTAGCTGTGAGTTTTTACTCCTTCCCTTGAAACGTCTCCGATTTTCTCTGTAAATAAGCTGACTTTAAACGCAGTTTGCCTTTTTAAAACTTCAGAAACTATTGAGAGCATGTACTGGTTTATTTATGATTTCTTCTATATTTTGTAAAAAAAATAAAATAAAATAAAGTAAAATAAAAAAATAAAAATCAGTATTTTCTCAGCAACTTATGTTTTGTTTTTTTTTTTACTTTTTCCTCCATTTTTACTTTTGTGACTTGTTCATAATTTTCTCGTGGCACATTGCTCTGGCTTGTTCTAACTTTTCAACTCTTTTCTTGCATGAAAAACATTCATTTTTTTATTGCGAGGTGTACACGTCTTATATTCACTGTGCCCTTACTCCTCCTATATCACATACACAAAGGGAGGCATTAGTATACAAATGAAGCTGACATTCGTATGCTCTTCGGTTTGAACAGAAACTACTGCCCACTCATGTGTTCTCGGGTTCCCTGTTTTTCTCGACAATCAGAGGCACTGCCAGCTGTGATGCTGCAGTTTGGAGATAACAGGAAGCTGCAGTAACTGGTCTCCATTTCTTCCCCCCGGGTGGAAGATGAGAGCAGCCGTCACGCTCACAATAGGACATGCTAGAGGTGTTAGAATTGGATCTGGGGGGGTTCATTTGATTCTTGTTTTTGTACACTTGGCTCTGCACAAAGGCAGCCTGATAACGCGTTAATCATACAATATCCTGTGCTGCAGGTTCATTTCATACTTTACTTTTCCGGTCAAAGTGGGACAAGTAGCATTTGCCCGGGGTTGATCGGATCAACAAAAGCACAGGCGGAAAGGAAGCTTCCTCAATAATGATGAAACATTACAATCAAAGCTGAGGTCTTTCTGAATCAGAGTGCTGAAAAGAGAGTTGGGCAAAGGTGGATGGCTGTGATTGATTTATTCTTTTCTTGCTGTCTTCACACTAAGAGAATGAGACCTGGGCAATTCCCCTGAATCACAGTGGACAGCATCTTCTGTTTCCTCCCATTTTGTCTGATGCGGTACAAAGTGTTTTTCCTGTTACGTTACAAAAAGCTGTCAAAGAGTGAAGCGGTAAGAAGTGAAACTGGAAACATGCTTAGTATTAGAGTGCACTCATAATCCAAACAATTACTCATGGTGGTGAACATGGTGGTTTTATCATTGTGTTCCCTGTACTAAAATTACAATGAGAGTTTGACGCTACGTGATCCTAAACCATCACTAAGCTGCATAAATCATTTAAGGGTTCATTCACACCAGCTCCTTTTTACATCACTTTTATTGAATTCTGACTTGTTTGCCTATAAAGTCTGGTTTGTTTGCGGAGGGGTTAAGGTGCAGGCAAACTCTGAGGCGGAGCAAAAAAAAAATAAAAACACAAACTCTGTCTCAACTACGAAACCAGGACTCAGTTTGGTTGAAGTGAACTCTAGCGCAGTTTGAATGCCAAGTGGACCGGAGGTCGCTCCAAAAGCAGGAAGTGAACAGTACCGCGGGGCATTCTGGATAAATACAACCTAAACAAACGCGAGTATAACGCTAGCGGACTTGCTTGTGTTCTTTTTGTTTGTTGTTGTTGTTGTTTTTTTTTGCCAAAGACAAAAGAGAAATCCTACAACCTCTAATATCTGACGCCATTCCATTTTTGTTTGGGTTTTCTTGCAAGAAGAACCTCTTCAGAAATTTTTGTGTCGTTTCCTTTAGAGATTTTTGGTGCAGCGTCACAACGGGCAACCAGGGTGAACAAGTTTTCTGATTAGTTTGGATTGTTTGACAGTGCAGTGTGAAAGCGAACCACACCGGCTGAAAATAACAGATGTTGAAATGTTGACCCCACCCACCCCCCAATGGTAGAGAGTCTCCTGAACTGTCAGTGGGTCTCTGCTTCTCCTCCAGAATTACTTTGGGTCTATTGGCTGTGTTTGTCAACATTTCTTTCTTTTGCCCAGATCATCAGTGGTTGGAGCCTTTGCATTTTTAGTGCATAGTGCTGATGTTTGGCCCTTTGGACATGGTTTTCATAACGTAGTCCTTCTTTAAACTTCTCTGCAGCTTTACTCCTGAGCTGCCTGCTGTGTTAGCGATTCTGTTAGATCTTCTGTTGCCTTCACATGGGTGCATAGATTCTATTTACTACTCAGCTCTTTGCACAAAGTTATAAAAATACTGTGCAGGAGATATTGATCACAACAGATAAAGAGCATCAAAGCATGCACATAATAGCTAAATAGATATAAAAAGAAAAATAAGGACGAGTACAAGACGACAGATATAGGTAAGTACTGATGCTACAAGAAAAATAAAAAGTGAAACGCCAGACTAAATACATGGGTTAGTCATCTTAATATATTAAATAGATTTAACTGTTTAAAAAAAGTCCAACAAGTCAAACACGGGTGAAGAGAAAAATCCCCAGGCCAGAGCCAGAAAGGTTTGATCTGCTTTAGATACGAGTGTTTTATTCCCCTGCACAGGGACATAGAGCACTTATCATGTAGCAGCCTTGGCGATGTTAAATTAAAAAATCTCTGAGAAAGTTCATCAGCACTGAGTTAGGATCTCTGTAAGGCTAGCTTTCCAAAGTGTAGCTGCTCATTTTTAATTTTTTTATTTTGCCAATCTAAATAAGCCAGGTCTGCGCTCCTGTTGCAGAGTCTACCTCCTCTGTGCCCTATGCATATGTTTGACAGTCAACGAAACAAGTTGCAGTAGCAAAACTTGCACAGCTTCCATAACTTATTTTGCTTGCAACGCAAAGGATTATGTGTCTGAAAAGCAGATGAAACACTGCAAAATGTACATTGAGCGATGGCGTCTTTTAACTGGACGTGCCTGTGGCTTTACTCGGGTTAAAGACAGCAAGTTAGATATAGAATAATTGGCCTATTTTTGTGTTTTTCTTCTGCGTATTGAGTCAGTAACATTCAAGCCCTGGGGGAGTGTGTCAAATCCACAATTCCACGGGTACTGACACATAAACAGACCCTCTTCACCTACCCAGAAGGGAGTAGCAGCTATTATGATGCTCTACTTTCAGATTGTTTACTTCGTCGTGAAGAAGGATCGAAAACATGC